TGTGCTCCTGCACTCTGAAGATGCTGGTCACGGGTGCTGGCGAAGCGTTGGGAAACAAAACTTCAAGCACACGGCCACACAGCCCGGAAGACCCACACCAGTCATCGTATGCCGGCCGTGAAAGCCTTCGACAATACAAAGAACATTTTCCTTGAAACTTGATTCAACGGACAGTACTGGATGAGAAGGGACACAGAGATGTGATGCAAGGTCTGTTTAAAATATAAACAAGAAAAATAGGTATGTAAAGCAATAATGGCCCCTATGGCTCTCACAGGGCAGGTTCCACTTCATCAGGTGCAGACATATTATCCAAATAGTGCTTCCAGAGGAGGTGTTTAATAGACAACCTCCCTGTCTCGTTTGCAATATTTCCAGGCAATCCAGACATAATTGTTTTCCATTTGGACTCTTTTGTATTTTTATATCACTTCTTTTGTGTATTTTAGCAGACAAAGTTTATTTGGGAAGAAAAGATGGAATAGCTGCACAGAATCTTTTGAGGGCCTGGAATTATGCCAAGCTGGCGTGATCGATGCACTTAACGATGTATAGAAAGACAAAAGCAAACTTTATAAACAGAGGGACCAGAAGATCAGGAAATGAAAAAAGTAGCAACAGTACAATCTGAAATTTGTCACCCTTCGCTGCAGTCACCCTTGTGTTTAATTTAGTTTGGGGCCCATTTTGTGCCTGCATATATGATTGTCTATGTGATTTGCAGTTAATCATGTAAGTATCTTATGAAGTAGGCTCTGCTCCAAGATGAAGCCATTTGTCTCCAAAATGCCTCAAGATTGTTTGCTATTTTGGAACAACAGGCAAACACAGCTGCCCCTCTGGAATGTGGCTCTTAGGTTTGAGAGATATATTCTCCACATTCATCTTAAGAAAAAGGAGAACAGGTCTAGCTGAAATTGCATGAGATCAAGAGAATAAATAATGAGGTTCTGGAGACAGGAGTAGAGAGAAATCACCCAGAGGGACAACCTGAACTGACAGGAACCCCTGATTCAGTTCATTTTTCCCCATTAAAAGATAAAAAGTCCCATCATTTTCCAAAAAGTTTGTTCATTTATGTGCTTATCTTGTGCGTTAATGAGAGATGATTCACACACTAGTGAATTTGACTCAAGCAGATAAGCTCTCTGGGATATTCTTGTAATTCTCTTTAATGCTGTGTTAAACGCACAGCTGTACTTTGGCCAGGGAACCAGACTGACAGTGCTAGGTAAGTTCACCAAAGATTATTTCGTGAAGTTCTCTTGCCTGAGCCCTGTTAAATAAATGAGATTTGTGAAAGCGTGTGGTTTAGCTTACTCAGAAAAGCCTTAAAATCTATAATTGTACACCCAGGAGAGATAAGCTAAAAATGATAACCCTTTCCTAAATAGAAAAAATAAATTCTACTGATTACCAAGATCCACCCTGATCGTAAGATTATACATAATTTATAATTTAAATTAAACATTGAAAATCCCGGATGCATGTAAACAGAAAGGCTGCAAGGTTCTAGTTTTTCTAGGGGGATACTTTGAGATGGAGCAAAGCACAGCCAAGCCAAACCTTGTTTGCCAGTTGTTGTTTCCTTCCTATTTCTCCCCCTTTGCATTTCAGTTGACAACTGAATGCCATTTGGGATGTGAAGCTGCATTCAAGCTATAGCTGCTGAGAGAGAGAGAGAGAGAGAGAGAGAGAGAGAGAGAGAGAG